CCTGCAATGCATTTGAGTTCGTCTCTCCATTAAGTGGAAGTCGTTCTACACTACGTTTGGCTGTACCGGGTCGACACTCAATTTTTCTTTCCCATTGGTATTCGGTTCTTTTAGCTATGTAACCAGCCCATTGCCACTACAGTTTCCTTATCCTTCAGGCTGTGTTGCTGACTTTTGTTCTTTTGCAATTTTTTTTTTAAACTTCGAGCATAGCTTTTTTTTTACAACACAGGTGGCATACGAGAATGCGGCTCACCTGATGGTAAGTGACTAAAGTGACTTTCCATAGTACACTGTATACGGGCAACTGTGTAGAACCATGTTTCAGTTTTACAGGTCATCACCGGCAACACCTTCTGGTGTCTTTAAACTTAGCGATATTTAATAATATCTATTTTAGTTCATTGGTTTAAATTACAGTTAATAAATTAGCATTTTTTTTTTCACTTAAAGTCTATCAACCAACTTAAAATTATGGAGTATATGGTAGTCAATTTTATTGGATTTTTACCAGAGGGAGACTTTGTACAAAAGTCGATTGCTTGGGTACCTCTGTCCCATTCGTGTTTCTACCGTGAAGCAGTTGTGTTTGCATGGCTGTGTTTCGGTTTTAAGGGTGGGATATGGCGTGAATTTACAGGGTACAGAGGAATAACACCTGAATCCTCAGGAATGGCAACGCAAGGGGGGTATCATTGGCGAAACAGTATGTGTGTGTACTGTTATGTCCATGGTACTGCTTATGTCTATAGGCGACGGTTACCACTTTACATCAGGTGGGCCGTCAGCTTGTTTGCCATTCTAAGTCGTATAAAAAAAATTATAGATATGTTAGGCAATACTTTCGTCAATTTATTACTAATTCAAGTAATTGTACATGATTTATATGAAATTTAGTACATTGATGTACTAGATTATAGATAGGAAACTTTTATTTTAATTCATGGTAACGAATAATTACTTATTAATAAATATCTATCTGTAACAGAGACCAGAGATTGCTATGAGACAAAATGATTTACTAATAACAACCTAATAGAAGGATTTTGATTTGTATACAGGGTGAAGTCGTAATAACTAACATCATTTTATTACAGTCTTCTGCCGATGAAACTGAACATTTATCAAAGGAATATTTTTTATTATATTTTTGTTTTTTTTTTTCATTGTTATAACATGCTATAACATGTCATGTGACCACACCATTTCTGCCTGAGCGAACACAGAGACAACATGGTCCATGAATTTACTTTTACATTTGAAGAATCCGAGGTTATAGGAAAAAGGAAGCACGTCATGAGTAAGGCCATTTCACATTGTCACTGTATAAATTCACGTATGAGTTCGCAAACTAATTTGTATGCGAGGGCGAGCGAGCTATGGTTTAAAAAAACAACAACAAAAAAAGATACTAATCTGATCTTGGATGCTTTCTATTATTATTGTTATATTTCTATTATTATTCTATTATTATCTACTATTGGGCACGTGATGCGCAGGAATGAGAAGCATATTTTAAAAAAAGTATTAAGAATGAAAGTAGATGGCTATAAGAGGAGAGGAAGACCTAAAAAGACATGGATGGATTGTGTGAGGGACGATATGGCCAGAATGGGAGTGAATGCGGAAATGACTGGGAATAGAAAAGAATGGAAGAGGAAAACATATTACGCCGACCCCAAATGATAGTTGGGATAAGGGTAGGAAGATGACGATATTATCTACTATTATTTCTATTATTATGCTTTAGGAAAAAAAAGTTTAATTTAACTGGAACAAAATCTCAGAGAAAAGCTGTTATTGATTTAGATTTCGCCCTGATTAAGTGTACAATTGGCGTGTGGCCTGGCATAGAATGGGCCACCCCTTCCTTTCCCGTGGGTGTCGAAAGAGACGACTAATGGAACTTAATAGTAGAGAGATGGGCAGCAACGTCCCTCTTAAAACATCACTAAAATCCGATTTGCGGTTGCAAACCTATCTGCCAAGCGTGGCAACTACTGTCAAAACTCCCCTTATGGGAAAGGCAGTTCAGCAGTGAACAGATAATGGCTGATATAGTGTAGTATGGTAAATGTATAATTAAAAATAAAAAAAACAAAAACAAATTATTAGAAAAAAATATCTACATGTCTTTATTTAAGAGTATCGAGTATTTATCCGAGTTAATTCTCTTTCAACAACAGAAATACGAGAAAACACCATTTCTCATTACTATTTCTTAGAAGCAATCGGATATTGCATTGTGCAGTAAATACGGTTGTGCTCTGAACGTACTGAACAAATCAACCACACCGCAATTAATACTTTAACTGCATTTGTAATTCGTTTGTAATTATTGTAAACTACTTCTGCTTTTCAAATAGTCGACTAAGGGAACTTCATGATCAAGGGATGGGCAGTGGCGTCCCTCTTAGAACATCACCATAAGCCAAACTGCGGTTGTCAAACCGCCTGCCAAGCATGGCAACTACTGGTAACGTCCCTCCAATGGTAAATTCTGGGAGACAGTCTCTGGGAGAGGCCTATATTCATCAATGGACAAATAAGAGCTATAATATTAATTTCCATTTTTCAAGCGACCACGTGACTTTTCGTTAATTTCCGGGAGTCAAAAAAGCTGTTTTACGCAATAAGATTCATTTCGTATGACCTACCGCGTTGTGTAGATGTCGTGGCTAGATCTTTGAACTGATCACTTCATGATGTAACCGACCATTTCACGATAGATAATAATAGGGACGATGAGTGATGATGAAAGCAGGTCACAAGTTTTACAAGAATTAACCACGATATTTCCCATGGGGAACCGCGTGGAGGCCAACCTGATAGGGCTAACAAGGGGACAGTAAGGTCCCTTTACTAACAATCTTTTCCACCCTGCTACGGTATTTTTTAATGGGTAATAATGGCATGGTAACCCCGCCTGCGCTATCAGTATACTCTGGCGGGGTACCAGTAAGAGATGACAAATGAGGATAAAAACAGGTTAGTTAGCCCATCCTGACGAATTCAACTAGAATTAAACATGATGGTATCCAGGGGGGTCCACGTGGAAGTCGACATGATAGGGTATAATGCTAGTAATGGGGCTGTTTGACCCCATTACTAACACTTTCTGTCCCCACTGCTACAGTGGTTTGGACATGTAGAAAGAATGCCAGATGAAAAGCTGACAAAACAGATATATAATGCGAATGTAGATGGGATGTAGGTACCGGGGGAGACCTAAATTCATCTACTGCAATCAAATAAAAAGTGTTCTTTCTGAATTCAAAACTCTCCCGAATCGGCGTGTGATAGATAGATAGAAATTCCATATTTGGATTATTAAATAACATAAGATTTATTTTATAATGAAATCACCCCTTTAAAAAGGTTTTTTCTCAAAATTCCCAAAGCTTATGCGCGCGCGAAACCGAGATAAATGGCCATACTTTTATTGTGGTAAAAAAAAAAGTTATTTAAACATAACTTATAGATTCAATACTAGAAGAGTATGAGTTATGTTTGTTATATTGATATTATTAATCCCAAAATTTCACTCAATACAGTTCTTTAAAAAAAAAAACAAATAAATAAAATACTTTTAAAATATCAGTCTGTCATCATTTGCACTACTTCACATCAAGCAAAATATAGTAGATCACACTTTGTTTCAATAATTAATAGGCCTTCAAAAATTCCTTACATAGATTCGTCACAGACCTAACAAAAACAATTTGTTATGAACGAAATTGTTTCGAAGCTAATTTTTAATAATATAATTCCCTCAAACATTAGACTTTCATACCGTGAATAATTCTTCATCCCACCTGAATTAATATTAAAACGTACTATAGTCGAACTTTCGCCTTTGTTAAAATAAAAATGTTTTTTTTTTCTTTCTTTTTTGATGTATAATTTAAATACACTTAAATACAAAACATATTACACATATGGCCTGCATAGATTAGGGACATTTATTAGAAACTTTTTAAAAAGTTGTCTGCTCGTCATTCTTCTGTCTCATTTGTGTTTCTGCTGTAAAGCAGCTGTGCTGGTAAGGCTGTGTTTGGTTTGAAGGATATGTCTATGGAATTACAGAGTACGGAAGTATAATACCAGGAATGTGGTATAAAGCATACCTGTGTCTGATTAACTGCACGATATTATATAATTTGCTGTTTCAATAATACTTCTTCTTCTTGTAAAAACTAGTATCTAGCAGTGGACAATGCGATTTAACCTTAATAGGTTGCTACAGTAAATTAGTCATATAATAAATAGGAAATATCAGCCGCATTGCTAGCAATATACTTTGTCAGGTCGATATCCACGTGGTCCCCCTTGAAACCATCTTGACTTGACTTGTCTTTCAATCCTTACCTATTAACCCTCACTGGTAAGCCACCAGCGTACACCCTTAACGAGGTTACCATTCCGTTATCATCCATAAAAATCCTACTTTTTGAAGGGGAAACGGATTGTTAGTAATGGGGTCTAACAGCTCCATTGCTAGTAATATACCCTATCAGGTCAACCTCCACGCGCTTCCTGCAAGATACCATCGTGGATATTTTTTTGTAACATTTGTGACGAAGGGCTAATTGATCTGTTTTTACCCTCACCTATCATCCCTTACAGGTGTCTCGCCAGCGTATACCGATAGCGCAGGCGAGGTTACCATTCTATATTCATCCGTCAAAAAATACCTTATTCCTTGAATATACAATTTGAGAATCCGACTCCGCTAATAGGGTCGTTGGAAAAACTTTACGAACACTCGAACTACTTGAGTTAGCGTTGTAAGGGTTTGGGTCTTATTGAATAGAGTTTGTTGAACTCATTGTAGGTACGTATGTTTATCTACTGGTTCGAAATTTAAAATTTTCTGCAGCGAACCCCTCACAACCTTCCATCACCTATTTAACTGCTTAAAGGGACAAATTCTTAGAATTCCTTTTTTATAGTACAAACAATTCCTATGCGAGTTTTATTAAAGTCTATAATAAAACAAGTTGTTTAAAAAAAATGTCGTATATACTTAACTACACATTTTTAATACAAGGCGACTAAATATATATTCTGTGCAAAACAAAAACAAATTCTATGTAAACACATACCCACACACGTGTACATACACATCGATAAAGTACGAAATATTTCGTAGACAGTCTGCATTGCAAATAATTCAAAACGTGAAATTGAATGTTTAGGTACAGATTTTGTTTTTAAAACGGACAGTTTTTTCCTTTGCAATAATATATAATTTAGCTTAAACGGACAAAAACCGTTATCAAAACTATTTATTCTTCTTTTCATTTAAGAGTTTCCTCTTGTCGGTGCAACTAATTCATGCATCCTCATCCAGCCAGCTCTATCCCAGGCCATATCCTTTATTATTGATAACAAAATCTCTCGAGTCATGTATAATGTGACAAAACACAACAACTGTTTCGACTTCATTCGACAGTTTTCTTTAAGGTACGTACGACGTTTTGCGTCACAGCATCTCTCTATGGGCTGTCAATTTTCGGAAACGACAAACATAGCAAGTTCGTAAAATTCCTGTTATACATATATGCATATAGGTAGTTCAAAATTGGTCGAGATATCGCGTTACATATAAAAAACAGCCAAATAGACAAAATCCTTTTTGAAGCTGCTTAAAGCGCACACTTCGCTTTAACAAATGACGAATTAGGACTTAATAAAACCGGTACTCGGTCGTTATATATTTATTTGCAGTCATTAGTCCCTCCTTGAGGCTGTAACATAAACTCTTATTATGGAAGTTAGTAGGCCATTAGCCGCCATCTCACTCTAAGACTCTTTGATGGCCCTAAGCTAAATATATGAAGTGGCATCTTTGACATCGCTGTTTTCTGAGCCCTGAAAGTAATAATTGGGGGCATTTGCACGACACAATTTTGCACGATTTTAAACGATTTCTAAGTGACTTGGTGATAACTGGATGTATTGATTGATCGACTTCACAGGTATGAGAATTTTTATGATTAGTAGTTGAGCTATTAAAGCATCAGGAGATAACAAAGAAACTAGATTTCACATTTATAATATGATGAAGGCAATAATATCTTATTACTAATAATATTAGCATAGTATAAATACTGTACTATGTCCATACTGTACTATGTACTATAGTACATTATTGACATTCCCTGCCGCCCACCACGATTTGACCTCACTTCCTGTCAAACACGCTACCATAGTCGAAAGGATGTTGCTAGTCTACGTTTTTATAACCACCAATTTCAGAAAAGAATAGAGAATACACTATTTAAGAGGTATAAAGAGGATAACGTGTGACGTCAGACAGGTCAGTCTACATTATACAATACATTGAAGCGCGCGCTTTCCACCCGCTATCCTTTACTACACACGCACACATTGGCACATTCACATACGTTACTTGTTTCTGTAGTTGTAACAATCGCGAATTGTGGCGTTTTTGTATAAAGTGCCCGAGGTGTAGTGTACTGGGTATAATGTATAGTGTATAGTGTACAAGAGGCACTGTACAGACTGCGGTATATAGGCTATAGTATGCAAGCTGTAGTGTACAGGCTGCAGTATATAGTGTACAGTAAGGATATAATATGAAAAGCATTTTACTGCAAAAAAAAAATTAATACAGACAAAATAAACTAATAAAAGATGAAATATTTTGTGGACATATTTGAATACAAATATTTGAATTTGAAAGCCGAAATCAAGATCTCGTAGTCATGACTACGAAAAATTTCGCATACAACAAACAGAATGTTCTACAATAAAAAAAGGCATATTCAATCTTTACAGAATTAAAATAGATTTAATACGGGAGTACACTCTGTCGATTGAAAAAATAATTATCAAAATCGAACCAAAATTGATAAAGATATCGCTAAACACATACATTAACAAAAAATACAAACTAATTAAGAACTTCATTCTTTTTGAAGTCGCTTAAAAATATTCTACAAAAAACAAATTGGTCAAGGTATCAGAAACGTCGTTAGAATATTTTAACGACGACTTCATTTGCCGTTTTTGTAAATAAATTGTTCGACGGCGAAGTTGAAACATAACGGGCAATTTGATATAAATTGCAAACAGTCGGATCTAGGAGGAACACTGTAACGGTCCATGCAAATGTAAACCTTAACCCGAGTGTCGTGAGTAAATTTTCCTATGTGTTAAAACGATAGGAATTAAATTTCGAACATTATGTTACGAAGGTGTATTAAAGTGGATCATACCAGAGTCGGGTATAAAAAGGTGTAGGTAAACAGGAATGCCTTTGGCTCTATTCTCACAAAACAAACCGCTCAAATAACATTGAAGTTGACAAGTCAATCGATTGAAGTTCTATTTTAAGTTTTTTTTTTTTTAATGGATGACAATGGAGTAGGAACTCCGCTTGCGCTAACGATAACGGCTGGTGGAGCACTTGTGAGGGATTAAAAAGGCAGGTCAGTTAGTTCACCATGATGAATAAACCTAGAGTCCAGCACAGTGGTTTCCAAGGGGGACCACGTGGAGGTCGACCTGACAGGGTATATTGCTAGTAATGGGACTGGTAGTCCGCATTACTAACAATCCCTTCCTTCTCTCTATTTTAAGTTTGTAATGATCTATTACGTATCAATTGATTTGCCAACTGGGAAACACAAGACGATTGTTGGCTACGGTAACTGTTTACCATCAGGCGAAATATATGATTAATTATTTAATTCTGCAAAGGTTTGCCACTTTTGCAGAATTAAATAATCAATCGACTTAAATAAGGGGGTTTTCAATTCAGTTTTATTTTAACCGATTTAAAAAAAAGGAGATTCTATGTTCCACTGTATATTTTTTTTATATATCTATCTTTTGTCGTAGTTAAATAACTTTACATAATTTTTCTAAGAAATTTTCAATTGTGACAAAACCAGTTATTTTGTTCTAAAAATAAAACTACTGCACCGAGTTTGATAAAATTTTTATAAGATCAATTTGTTGTTGTTTTTTTTTCTAAAAGGTAAATAAAGAATTTTCCAAATTGAGAAAAAAATACAACCGAATTGAGAATTATTTTTGAAATGGATTAAAAATGTGAAAGCTGTAAAGATATTTCTAAATTTATGACTCAATCATGCTTAAACAGCTGAAGGCATTTGAATGATATTAGGTACACGGGTATAGATTTGATATAAAAATATAAAGATTAAAACATTTTATATACAGATTTGCGCAGACGAAGCCACGGGAAACAACTACAAGTGAATAATATTTAAATATCAAATTTACATCTGTCTCAGAGCGTTAACGCAGAGAAGGCGTCCGGAATGAGAATTATCTTAAACTAAAACGCTAAAAGCTAATTGAAACTTCAGAAATAGTTGGCACCGCCCGCAGTATGGATTGACAGTTCTTTGTCGCTGACACCATTGTGTTTAACGGCGCGACTATGAGCATCTATTTCGGGACCATTAAATATACGGACTTGTAGTCCAGAGGTGGATTGTTCGACAACTATAGACTTAACTAGACAAGTGACAAGCGAATTCGTCGATGAAATCGACATCGCTAGCGAGTCCGTGAGATAGAATGAGATAGTAACGCCGGGTGACTCATTCCAACTCACGGACTCGCTAGCGATGTCGATTCAATCGACGAATTCGCTTGCCACTTGTCTAGAGGCCCTGGTCCTGTACCAAGACTTCGTCCGTGGGACCGAGATAGATGGATTGACGGGAAAAAGTAGGCTATATCCTTTTCCATCCCGAATCGTACGTATATGCTTAATTTTGTAATGATTTGCTAAATTGTTAAAACTCTAAAAGGGAAATACTATACAATAAAAAATTTTAAGTAACCCCCGAGTTGATTTTTTTTTTATACTACTTAGAATGGCAAACAAGCTAACGGCCCACCTGATGGAAAGTGGTAACCGTCGCCTATAGACATGAGCACACAACACAAGTGTTTCGGTTTGAAGGGTGGGATATGGCGTGAATTTACTAGGTACAGAGGAATAATATCTGAGTCCTCAGGAATGGCAACACATGGGGGGTATTATGGGCGAAACAGTATATTTATTTTATTTATTTATTTAACACTTTATTGCACCAACATAACATGATTTGTTAAACAATTTTCAATACGTATAGTACAAAAGGAGGTCTTATTGCTAAGCAATCTCTTCCAGACAACCTTTGGGTAGAAGGAATTAAAGCATAAATAGGTAGGTGGCGCGTTAAAAAAAAATAGATTTGTAAAAAATAATATCTGTGACAGCATAATCATATACACATACATAAATAAACACATACATCCAAACATATACATATATATACATACACATACACATATAAATATATATACATACACATACACATATAAATATATATACATACATATACATATATACGCATAAATACATAGTATACTCTGTTACGTCCATGGTACTGCTCATGTTTATAGGCGACGGTTACCACTTTGCATCAGGTGGGCTGACAGCTTGTTTGCCATTCTAAGTTGTATAAAAAAAAAACTGACCTGCTTTCATCCTCACCTATCATCTATCACTATTGCCCCGCCAGCGTAAACCGATAGCGCAGGCGGGGTTATCGTTCCATTGTCATCCATAAAAAAACCGTTTAGACGCGTAAGATCAACAGATGCTAAAAGAATATTTCTTTTTAGAAATTTTGCCTGTTTGTTGGAATGTTTGCTCCGGCATCAAGTAAAAATTACTGCACCAAATTAGATGCGGTTTCCATAATTGTATTCCTGAAGGTTTAACTTAAAATCTGGTGTATGTTCTATCTTGATACGCCATCTAGAAGGTGATATATTTAAATAGATTTCCACGCGTACGAAGCAGCGGGCAAAGAGCTAGTTATTAATAAAATTGTCTATACTAATGTAATAAAGCGAAAGTGTTCGTTTGTTTGATTGCGCTAATCTCTGAAACTACTCGTACTAGTTGGATTAATTTTTTCTTTTAATTTTAAGGGTTTTTACCTTCTTCATGTATATCAGCCCCATCGTACCCTGAACTGATTTCTCATATAAAGTTTTATCTACTTTCCCTTTTCACGGACAGAGAGAAATTTATGGATATCAACACTTTACAGAGATTTTCAAAAAATCTGATTTGAGTTCAACTAATATAGATTGAATTAGAGCAATATTTATTTTATTTAGATTTAAGTGGCGTATGAATTCTTTTACATTTTTATGTTACACAAAATTATAGTATCACAAACTTGACAATAGTGTGATCAGGGGGTCTATCATGAAATGAAATTTCAAACTTTCGAGTTCAATTTCGTGTTTTTGTTCGTACCGAAATCTACCCAGTAGCTGGAGCTTAACATTTCGTTCGTCATAAATCCTACTATAACAGTCTAGAGGAACGATGTTTAAAATTCTTTAATACTTTTAAACGTTATGTTATTATGTAATTTTAACATCAAATCTCTGTTTCGTTCGTCCCCGAAATTTCGGAAAATATTTCATGGTAGGCCCCCAAGCCTTTCCCATCATATGTACAAAGTCAAACAGCAAATTTATTAAACTAGTCGGATTTGAAGAATTCTTTTTGCACTTATTTGCACATTCTTTGAAAAAGATTGTAGGTTATTCAATATCACTATACGATCACGGACGAAACCGGGAGATATGGCTAGTTATAAAATAAAACCTTTTACCCGACCGCTTGAGTAACCATTACATAGATAGCTAAAACCAGACTAGATTTCAATAGATTTGAATTCTACTAGTATAATAAATCTGAAAGTTTATAATGATGGATAAAATAAATAAATAAATAGTTAATTCAGCAAACTTTGTTACGCTTCCAAAAAAGGTTTATACAGAGTAAAATAACATGTGTAGTG